CCCCAACTGGCGGCATGTTCACAAACATTTGGATCTACTTCGAAGTATTTCGTCTGACAGAGCTCAGGACTATCTAAAACATTTCGGTGTGAAGACCGCACTTATTCACGAGCAACTGGAGTAAAATCTCTTGTACCCCATATACCATGGAGGGAGCAACCTTCAGCTGACCATTCCCTTTCCGTTATAGAAACAACTATCCAAACAGTGATCTTCACACTCTAACCACGATGAAAGCTTATGGTGTGCTTACTCACCGTTTTTTCTTGGTGTGTGTGCGTGCGTGTGTGTTTGTGTGTGGGTGGGTGTGTGTGCGTGCGTGTGTGTGTGTGTGTGTGTGTGTGTGTGTGTGTATGTGTGTGCGTGCGTGTGTGTGTGTGTATGTGTGTGTGTGTGTGTGTGTGTGTGTGTGTGTGTGTGTGTGTGTGTGTGTGTGTGTGTGTGTGTGTGTGTGTGTGTGTGTGTGTGTGTGTGTGTGTGTGTGTGTGTGCATGCGTGAGTGTGTGTGTGTGTATGTGTGTGTGCCTACAGATGTCCAGCAAACACGTGCTCTATCGCACAGCTGAGATGCATGACAACTTCCACTTTGGATGCGGTAAGACTGGCAACCAAACAGGCCAAAGGGCTCAATTTCTATCCTGAAGATCTTCCTGCTGATGGGCATGTGTATGTGATGCCATAGAAACCGCTTTGCCATGGGTCAGGGTAAACCCTGCCCTTGACATCATGTTAGTCCTTTGAGTTTGATGAAGAAGTCAGTTGTTTGTTCCAGTATTCCTTCCATTTGTGTGTGTATGAGTGTGTGTGTGAGAAAAAGCCACTTCATAGCTGTGTGGTGTAGACCAGGCTGAATAGTGGTGGTCAATTCTTCAGCCTTGCAAGCTGTTGAATGGTGCAATCCCAGCACAAGCTGCTATGGCTTCTGCTGTAGCATCGCTATCATCGCCTCTGGCGATGGGCGTCCAATGGTCCAATGGTGTGTGTCTGTGTGTGTGTGTCTGTGTGTATACATGGGAGTGTGGGTGTATTTATGTGTGTGCCTGTATGTGTGTATGTTATTGAAGGTGTGACTCATGACCCAGGCTTGTCATTTGACCAACCTATGGATCAGCTAGCTCCGAAGATTGTTGGCGAAGATGTCCACATGCGGGTAAGAAAAATCTTAACCCTTTACCGGCAGCCCCATACTTGAATGCGTCGTAAACGACGCATTCGACATGCATACTAAAACCATGCCTGGTATGACGGGAAGCATCAGCCCACGGGGATTTCCCGTGGCCCTCACACAGCCTAGGTATGATCCTATCCGTAGCTGAAGAGATCTACGCGTGTCCCATTTGATTTCATTGAGAACTGCGCGATCGAAAATTTACGGAAATACACGCGCACCGACAATGCCGTCTGCCTCCGTCAAAACGTCATCAGGTGCATTTCCTCTTGCGCAGTGAGTTCCTTTCGTCCTCAGATGACTTCTCCGACGAGGACCTAGCAGACCTTAGCTCTGGGACCCACGACAGATAGATAGATACTTCGCTCCAGCCGCCGATGCAAGCGAATTTCAAATTGCGGAGCGGAGCGCACGCCAAGTAAATTCTCACGCAGATATCGGGAGCTCCAGCCGCTGAAGGCGATGTCGTCGTGATGTACCTGGAAGAATCTGATGGTGCTTATGGTGGGGAAGCCATGGAGAGTGATCCCCGTGTCGACAGTCTCCCAGAGACGGAATTTTAGGCCATCGACTTTCTACGCACCTGAGTGACGGCAGCGCTGCGCGACTTGCGCACGACCTTACGAAGCCATCGGATAGCGATTTTGGGGCGATGCTGCTCTCAGTCGCGAGCGAGGCACGGCCACTGAAGTCTGTGATGGCTATGGCGTTCGTTTCCGCTCTGATGTCGACTTGTTTTGGCAGTTTCATGTCAATGTCGGAATCTTTCCGTTTTTAGACATATAGGTGCCAATTTAGTAGCGTATGTGTGTGGTATAATTATGAAAATAATTTTTTCCATCGTCAAGAAGTAGTACCAGACTTCCAAGAAAACATAACTTGCACATACAAAATGTGCCCTCGTTGTGAGTTATTGGCATCCTTCTCAATAGAGAGGTTTTGCATTCCGAATTTCGGAATTATTTTCGGAATGTGGCGGCAGCAGTCGAAAAAGTAGTCGAACTTTCGGAAGTGTGGTGGCGAAAGTGCATGGTTTTCCGAAAATGGATTTTCGGCTCTTTCATGTTTGGGAGTACATATTTGAATACAAAAAAGTGTATTTTTCATGTTTGTATTTTTGCTTTCTGCTGCTCTCGATTATTTGAAAAAATGTCCACGTATGTAGTCAGTTTGATTTTTGCTGGTTTTGCTGCTCTCGCTGATCTCGCCATGTTGACTAATCTTCTCACACTCCATCACACTCTATCTTCCTTTGCCATGGAGCCTACTGACAGTACAAGACAGTACATGTAGTTCGACAACCTCGTCTTCAGCTGTTGGATCACTTGGTCCACCATCAGTACGTCCTCATCTTCGAACCGCACCCAAAAACAGTTTGGCCTGCGCACATGGACTTGATCCTGCTCAGGGAGTCGTAAAATACCAGGTATTTTACGACTCCCTGATCCTGCTCAACCCCTTCGACGCTCTCCATTTTGTTTTTGCATGGCAACCCTTGGAAACGAAGTCGAATCAGATTTTCGGAATGCAAAACACTGAAAATACCGTTTTTCGGAACGCGCTTTTTTCGGAAAAGCACAGTCGAAAATAATTCCGAAATTCGGAATGCAAAACCTCTCTAATGTTATGGATTTCATATACAAAATGCACTTGCCGGTAAAGGGTTAAAGGCACACAGTGGAATCAGTCGGGGAAGTGAACAGGCTGACACACTGTGATTCAATGGTCCCTAGGAATTCATTCTCAATGTTACCTGGCTCCTAGCTCCAAACTGCACCAGGGTAGAATGCCCCCCCCCCCCCTCCCATGGCACATTCACAGCCACTGAGATGCACGTATATACACTGAGAGATACACATACACACACTTGCACACACACATGCACATATGTCACACACGGATTTTGACTGGTCTGTTGATCTGATCTGCTGCAGGCCAAGCGTCAAACATTCATACCCGGCACGGCCAATGTCCGCCGAGCCGTGGATCTTTTCGTCATCGCTGACAGATTCATAGTAAGCACGTACTCATAGGACCTAGCATGGCAGCTACGCTGGGAGCATGAATTGGAATTAGATTTGTGGCAGTGTGGCATTGTGGAATTGTGGAATGGGAATACGTGAAACGCATGAATTGTAATGACATCGTGGGTATACAGTGAAGCCTGTCTAAGACGACCACTCAAGGGACATTCAAAGTGTGGTCTCCATTGCCAGGTAGTCTCCTTATCCAGGGTCATTTGACTGGAAATAGCATCCTTGGTCCTGGCAGCATTGGTCTTCCGGGGCAGGTGGTCGCCTTACCCGAGTGGTCGCCTTGACAGGTTTTACTGTACTTATGTTGTTTGGGATCACCATCCTCCAGTGAGCCCAGTTTCGCAACACACATACCGTAGTGTCTTGTATAAGACCTGCCTTGTATAGAAATCTGCTTTGAATTCAAGCCTGATTTTCAAAATGCACTGGTGGTGCAGAAGCCTGCTTTTAGTATTGACATGCCTAGAAATACCTTGTTGAATAGAAGCCTCACTTGAATACAAGCCTAGCACTGACATCATACTGTACAGAAATAAGCCTGGCTTTAATACGCTATATCACTGTTACAGTCTGACCATGGTTGTGAGATTTCCGTCGATCACATCCATGTTTTCTTCAACTCATTGGAGAAGCGACAGCACTTGGATACCCCGAATTACAGTAAAGAGGTTCTGTACAACTTAATTGCGTCAGTAAAAAACGTTATCAACCTACGGAAAGTCTTACGTACACTGCATGCAGATCCGTGTCCCGTCATACGTAGCTTTCGAATCACGTAGCTGTCCTTGGCGACTCCGAACGCGCCCGTGTATGCCCTAGGGAGAGAGTCATAAATTCATACCCCAATCCACTTACGGAGCACGTCCGTTAGTAGAGCTCCATTTACGAACTCTTCGTCGTAAGTGGAGTGCAAACGCGCGAATTTACGTGTTTTCCGCCCTCTTGTTTTTCCGTAATTATCGATCTTTTTCACGAAGAGAAAACGTTTCGTATATGGGTGGGTGGGTTGAGGAGAGTTTCGTTTTGAAAATTATTGATAGCTAAAACATCAATCAATTTTAGCTGTCAAGTCAATATATTTTTCGTTGAAGGGGGTGGGTGGGTGGGGAAGGGTCAAAACTAAACTTTTTCGTTCCTTGAAAATTATCGATAATGCCGGATGACCCCTTACGTGAAGTTGCTCTACTTTATCTTATGCAGAACCTCTCTAAAACTGCACTTGGATCCCCTGTACTACAACAATTTGGTGGAGGACAAAAATATCGCTAGCTATGCACGGCAGCATTTGTAAAGACGGAGATGATTTCGAGCAAGTCAAGATATAATTATTTATGTTCTGTTTGTACTCAATACACAGCCGCCACAGTTTGGCAATGATGCGGCGCAAGTTCAAGACTTCATCAACAGCGCTATCAACTTCATGGATCAGGTAATGCCCTGGCACATTTGGCCACTAAAATGTCTCTCCCGCATTGGTCTTGTGACTAAAATGGCCGCCGCCCTCCGCAAGTCAGATATAGAGGTTATGCGAATACATAATCGGTTGAGATGCTCTGGCGGATTCGCGGCCTCGCGGGCCTTGTGGCTCAGCCCTGCACTTGAACTAGCGACCTGCACTGAGTGCGCGGCACCCACTAGCGAATCCACTGACACGCTGTGCACTCAGCGCCGATCAGCGATTCAACTGACTCACCTTGAGAAATCATTCGCATCGCCTCTATAGTGGGATGTCCTAAGATCATGATCGTGCCCCATGTGGGCCATACGCCTGAGAGGGGAGTACTAGGTTAATTAAAGGGGAAGTTCAGCCTAAAATCAATTTTTCACCAGTTGAAGTCTTCGGGGTGCTGAGTTGAATGGTCTTGGTCCGAGGAAGCTGAAATGCTCCCTTCCTCCTTTACTCCCTATCGAACTCGTTGCTCCCCCCCCCCCCCCCAACTGGGTGACTGCGCCCTACTAGATGGAGATTTGTATGCAAACTGTCAGTGAAAGCACCATTTCGTTCTTATAAAAGCACGGATGACCGCGATTGGCCCATATGTTGTAGTCTTTTGGATGCCGAGTCGACTGGTGTTGGTCCGAGAAGACTGCGGTGCAGCATTCGGCCCTTATTCCCAATCGAACATGGTTGAATAAGCGGTCACGTGCTCATGCGTACACCAGTCACCTGGCCACCATGCATGCAGGGTACACCTTCAAGCCTGTTGGGCGCGTTCCTGTCACTCGAGTTGAACCTTTGAACCTTTGAGTTTCAAAGATTCAACTCGAGTGACAGGGATACGCTGAGGTCCTGCTGGGAACCATTTGTCCAAACAACAGTTTTATCCGGAACTCATGGCCTGGCACATTGGAAGCATGGCTTGCAGTGAATGAAGTTTCCGCTCTTTCATCGTTTAGTTGTGAGTCTGATCTACTCACTCTCCATCGCTTTAGGGGCTGCATTGGTTCCTTTGATCGTTGCAGGGTAGGAGAGTTCCTACGGATGCGTGTAACTCACTGTGATCGAGTTTCACACGTGATGTACCATTTAAAAAAAATGTTATGTGGATGATGCTTTCTCCAGGCTATTCCAGGGTTACTCAAAAATATGACCGTGTCTCACACGAATCGTGATATTTATCATTTTATGTTATGTGCATGATGCTTTCTCCAGGCTTACTTGACCGTGAACATGCGCATATTCCTCAGCGGCTTTCTGCAACTGGAGGACAACACGAACTTTGCTGAATCCACCAACGCCAACCAGCTGCTAGACAGCTTCACCGCCTTCGTCGAGGCGGACTTTGTCAGTTTTGGCGTCGCCATAGACAGTGCTATGCTCCTTAGGTGAGAGGACAAGATGGCTATACAGGGATGCCACTTTTCTGTGGCTCGTATTCTTTCACAATCACGTCGCACTAGCCAATGAAAAGGTGATGTGGGCGATAGTCAGCAATGGCGGTAATAGAGGGGAGGTCAGAAAAGAAATGGAAGCTGAGTTAGCTGTCCAGAGATTCAGCACTTACAGGTACATTCGCTATTCGGTAAAAATTCTATGGCAGCAACTTCCTCCATACAAGCATATGCAAGAGTGTGCAGTCACGATAGACTCCACCGCAGAGTACTCGGCACGGGCTGTAATGTAGACAGCGTGAGTACTTGCTTGCACATGCTAATGTTTGGGGTTATGTTTTGCTGGTGTGTGTGTTTTTGTGTGTGTGTGTGTGTGTGTGTGTGTTTGTGTGTGTGTGTGTGTGTGTGTGTTTGTGTGTGTGTTTGTGTGTGTGTGTGTGTGTCTGTGTGTGTGTGTGTGTGTGTGTGTGTGTGTGTGTGTGTGTGTGTGTGTGTGTGTGTGTGTGTGTGTGTGTGTGTGTGTGTGTGTGTGTGTGTGTGTGTGTGTGTGTGTGTGTGTGTGTGTGTGTGTGTGTGTGTGTGTGTGTGTGTGTGTGTGTGTGTGTGTGTGTGTGTGTGTGTGTGTGTGTGTGTGTGTGTGTGTGTGTGTGTGTGTGTGTGTGTGTGTGTGTGTGTGTGTGTGTGTGTGTGTGTGTGTGTGTGTGTGTGTGTGTGTGTGTGCATGCATGCGCGCGCGTGGGTGTGGATGTGGATGTGGGTGTGGATGTGGATGTGGGTGTTGGAGTCTGCTTCAATCAAAGCAGTGTGCTGTCTATACTGGTTACCCCAGCAAGTATAGGGTGTGCATAGGTAACTGTCTTGGCCGTTTTATGCCAATGTACTCCATGTGGTGTAGACCAGATGTGCATTGGTGATCGATTCACATGGCTTCACAGGTTGTGTTGATTAGACAGTTATCTGGTGCAAGTCTTGATCTTTCTCATTCAGATCTTGTTCGCTATCGTTGCAATAAGTGCATTTGCAGATTTGCGTGTTTTTCTTGCGATGGGCGTATACATGGTACATCGTACATGTGTGTGTGTTCGTGTGTGTGTGTTCGTGTGTGTGTGTGTATGCGTGTGAACATTGCGTTCGTTCAGTGGTGTGTCTTTTGATGGATCAACGGTTGGCCTGGCCTTTGTGGATAACATCTGTGAAAGACGCGGTACATCCATAGTACAGGTGATTTATACACACAAACACATGCACACACACTCATACACACACTCATACACACACACACACACACACATACACACGCACACACACACACACACACACACACACACACACACACACACACACATCTCAGAAGACTACTTGAGTGGCGGAACTGTTTGGAACTGTTTTGCCGCATGCTTGTTGTCACCAACATTGACAAGGCCATTCTAGTATATCGCAGTGCACTGCATTGAGTGAATTTTTAAGATTCGAGTCTCGTTATTCAATTCTGACTCCTGATGCTAGCCACTGACCATGCCTTTAAGGAAGTTTTGAAGTGTACATATATTTCCAAACTCTTGTTGTTGACTTCTTTCTCTCTATATACACACATGTATCTCTGTCTCTTTTCTCACACAATTTCTTTAAAATGTACACATGCACACACACACACACACACACGTGAACGCACACACACACACACATACACACGCGTGAACACACACACGCACACTTGTATACACATGCACGTACACCGGATTGGAAACACTTGAACACGTGTCCTCCTCTCCCTGACAGAATTTCGCCGAGGCTCCGGCAAGCTTTGTGTCGCTAATCATGAGCCATGAGCTTGGACACACGCTCAGCATGCAGCACGACGGTGATCCAGGTATGTTCCATTCACTGTTACACATAGAGATACACGCAGGAGCAAACACACACACACACACACACACACACTTAAACACCCGCACTTAAACACCCACGCACACCCACGCGCGCACGCGCGCACACACACACACACAAACACACAGAGCATGCAGCACGTTCGTGATCCCGATGTGTCTCATTCACTAGAGACCATTAACAAACTGTCACGCTAACGGTCAAACGATTGGACAGCTCCGATTTCCAATCGTCAAAGCATGCAGGGCAAGAAGCTTTGCGTTGAACCATTCAGGCAAGTGATGCGTGCTTCTGACATGTCACAAGACTGTTGGCACGGAGATGACCAATTGAATTTTTTACTCGAGAAAGTGGTTAAGTCGTGCTTTCAAGCGCGATAAGAAGTCGAAGTGCGTGTTCATGACAGAAATCCAGTAAAAACAGTCGTGTTCATGTTCTATCAGCTAATCACAGCCCTTCGCGAAGTATTTTGAAGTTCGATATGAGTGTCAAGCGTGGGTGCATGTTGGAAATGCAATCAAAACACTCGTACTCGTGTTCGATCTGCCTTCATCACCGCCCTTCGCGCTGCGCACGGCGGGCCGTGATTCCTTACATGAACCGGAATCGTAATCATTTCGTGGTCACCCGTTGGAGCTGCTCCAATCGTGCTCACGAAACGATTCGAGTTTCCCGCGCGCCGGCCTCGTTCCATGTTTGTCCCAATCGTCGCTCCTGACGGTTTGCTAATGGTCTCTTCTGTCACAGGTGGACGAAGATGCTAAGATGTCTTGGTGCCCGCACGCACATTGTTACACATCTAGTACGCACTCGGATCAGTCATACACTTGTTATATCAAACACAAAGCTACCTATGAATTATGAAGGGAAAGGAAGAGTTTCGAAGTCTGAAGAAAATGTTTCAACTCTTACACCAACTCTGTTGTCAAGAATGCTATCCTGTTGTTTATGGTATTCCATCCTATTTGTCTGTATATGTAATTATTACTTGCACAGCACACTTGCATTTGCTGCTGTTCTCTGATTTTATTTACATAAACAGTTGCTATTTCCTAACTCTGAGATTCACGAATTGAATCGACAAGCAGACTAGAATGGAAGTTTGTTTGCGGTATTTGTATTCCTAATTTTAACACTCAAGAACGTAAGGGCTACACGCCCAACTACAGTTGAGATTGGATATAACGACACTCCTTCGGGAGAGAACCAGATGTCACTATATTCGATCTGTCACTAAACCCGATCTTCACAAAAGACTTACTAAACGACTTGGGCAAGAGAATTGTGTCACTAAACTCAATTTGTCGTTATATTCAAGGTCGTTATATCCGATCTCCACTGTACAGGGAAACAAATGTGAGAATGGAGTTGACAGGCGCGTAGCACCCCCGTTGGAGCTGGTACAGCCGGAGTGGAGTCGGGGGGGGGGGGGGTAAAATTTTGAAAAGAGGGTACAAAATCCTGCGTTCTGGGTACTACCCGGTTAACTGTACTTCCTCCGCCTAGGCAAAATTTTCGCTTATCTCCTTCAGCCCAATGACAGGTGTCTGGCAGCAATTGTTGCCTTTTGTGCACTTCACCATCACACAAATCTGCTGGTTCAGACGTACCAGTTCCAGACAAGTCGGCGAAGTCGGCAAAGAGTAAAGAAACACCTAGAGTAGAGCGCGTTGAACGCGAGTGAACTGGTAAAAAAGACACGAAGTCAGTCACTGGTCAAGGTGGGTGGCTGGGTGCTGCTAGAGTACCAATGGAGACTGGAGTACAGAGCAGAAGTGTCATGTTGCGAAAAGCCAGCGCGTTTGATTGTATCCGGCACAAGATGCTTGATGCTTGATGCAAGATGCTTGAAGCTGAGAAAGCCACTCACAGTCAGCGATGCTCGCCCACATACTGCAAAACGAACCAGAATCGGCACTGGGCAAAACAGGGGGAAAAGAAAGGCTTCGATGACAGGGTCGTCACTCACCCAGCTCATTCGCCTGATGTCAACGTGAACGATCCTGAATCGACGCTGAGCTCGTCAGCTTTGGCTGGTAAGAAACACGACCGATCGTACTCTTGAAGGAGTGAAGCG